TTATACTCAAAGCTTCATTTATGAAATCACCTTTCGATTATTAATAAACTAAATTCCTTCTATATTTTACTATAAACTATCCCCAAACACCCCTTACACTAACCTTAACCATCACTCACTTTTTTTCTTTATACAAATTTTGCTTTACACATTATACAAATTTACCATTTAATACTCTTGTAAAACACTCTACCAATAAAATAAACAATTTTGAACTATCTATTATATAAATTATTTATTATTTATATATTTAAAACCGGAAGCGAAGTGACAGGTTATATACTACAGTAGTTATTAATTATTAATTTAGAAGCAATTATTAACAATTACGAATACTATGCAATTAATATTAAAAAATCTATTGTTATGCATGAACTTTTCAATAAAAATATTATAACACAGTTAATAGATTTATCATTGATAAAAATAAATAATCTTTGCATTGATTACTCAATAAAAATTATTAATAAAATTTGAAACAATTCTAACTCCCAACACTTATAATTTTTATTTTTTAAGATATACCTGCAGAGAAAATTTGAAAAGACGTAGTGACATTGTCAGTATCATGTGCTGGTAAAGAGACCAAAAGAAGCAGATTCTCATCACTTCTGTGATTTGGCAAAGAAGTTGAAGGTATGATATTATCATTAGTTTCATGGTTTCTTAAAGGAAAATAGTAGATGTATTATTATTATCGCTTTTATCACTTTTATCACTTTCATCACTTTCATTGCTTTTATTGCTTTTATCACTTTCATCACTTTCACTTATAGTTACAGGCTGATTTTGTTGAAATGATGATTTAGTTGCTGCCCAAACTATTTAAGACAATCAAATCATGTGATAACATTAATTATTACAAGATTTGAATTGTCTTAAACAGTTTAGACAGAAATTATATTTGCAGAGATGTTATTTTGCGATCATACAGTATTCTAATTATTAAAAAGTTATTTAATAATACTGTTATAGGTGGGATTGGATATATCACTGCTAACCTCCCACAAAGAAATGATTTGGCAGATGTAAAATAATACAATGCCAACCATGGTTATCGAACTTGTAATGTATCAAATAATCAATATACCTATTTAAGATATAACTATATAAAAAATGCTTTATATCATCAGCAAACGGAAGAATAGTTTGCAGAAATAGAAAGCCAAAATTCAAAAGCAGATATGAAATGGCTAGCAGTTGAGTACAGGTTGGTGAAGCTAGGTCCTTTAAAAATACTTCAATAGGATCAGTATATCCAAATGCCGCAAGATGTATATCATTCTATAGCTAGAAAAGCGTGTACTCTTCTAGAAGCAACATTTAATGTATTTAATCAGAATGGTTAAAATACTTTTCTGAAGCATTGGAAAGATATAGAAAACCTTCCAACTGGTGTCAGATGCCCAATCCATTAAGGCATCATCAAAGTTTTATATTCTCTGATGTACTGAGGCTTACGATATTAATGCTATTTGTACTTCAACGATTTTTAAAATTTCATCACGTCAAGGTAAAAGCTTCGAATAATTAGTATACAAATAAAAATTTCACAGTGTCTAAATTATGTATTTGTTGGGCAGTTGAAGCCAATGTACTAAAACTTGCATTCTCATCTACAATGACAGAAATTCGCTATAAAAAATTGCAAGAAGTACTCAAAAATGAACATGAAATACTACTACAGGTAAGCATTTTAACTAAAATATCTAATTGTAAATTCCACTTGATTAATATCATATTGTTTCACCAATTACACATTATTCAACAACTTTGTGGAACAATAATTTTGACAGGGAGCTAGATAGATTTTACTGTCACATGATACTCAAAAAACAAATATTGTTGAACTAAAAACTTCTTTTATATTTGGGTTAGAGTTTAGATTAAGGTTAGAAAGAACAATAATATAGCAAAATTAAACAAGGAAATCTTTTTATTAAAACTCCAAGGATAGTTGACTAGACTAAATTTTGAGATAAATGTGATTTCGCAAAACGAACATTTGTTTTAAATTTTTTTATGTTACACCTGATCCTGATTTTTGATTTGCTAATAAATATCAGAAATTATATGACAGTAAATCGATCCTACGTCCTGGTATTGTTGTAGAACAATACAATAAGCGAAATTTAAAGATGCTTATATATTAAACTAAGATTGGAACTGTCTAATATAATTCTAGTTCAAACTAATATAATTTAGCCAGAATTATGAAATAATAATTTAGTTAAACAGTTCTAATCTTTACACTAAAAACTTTGTTTTTTCTTACTAGCTGTTTCCGAATAACTTTATGAATCTACTGAATTTACACGTAAATGTTCATCTCCTACAGTATGCTTAGAATTTTGCAACACTTGTAAATACTGCTGTCAGGTTAAAGGAGATGGTATATCATATATTTAAAAATGTGATACCATATATGAATCATAAAGCAATTGAACTTGAACTTTCTCGGTGATACAACACAATACAGACATTATGATATTTAATTGATAGCTAGATAGATCCACATTTTGGTATTAGGGCCAATACTATGAAAAATCTTGCTATGGATCCAAATGTTTGTTTAGTATTTTTTAACTGGTATGCTACAGAAAATTTGTTGAATAATCAAAGCGTCGAATACGAAAATAACTGTGAGTATTACTACTTATTACTATGCTATTTTTATACATTTTATTATATATTATATGTATATTATGTGTATATTTATATATATATATTATATATATTTTTACTATATATAGAGATGGAGAAGTTCAAATTAGTTTATAACATATATATAGTAGCTGCATATATTAATCTAATCTGAGCCAATATGAACTTTTTTATTTCTAACTATATATTATATATGCTTTCAAGCAGTGTATTTATCATTAAACCTAGCTGCCGTACAAAATTTGTCACAGATTGGACCCACATTATATAATTTTGGCCAGAATTAACTTTTTAACTTTTTCATTCCCAAAATAAAATTTTTTAGAGAAATAGACTCACACAATGATAAAATTAGCCCTTTTATATAATGTGTGGCTATGGTTTGATTAGTAAAATTTTGAGTAACTTCAGTCTAAATTTTTGATTATTGCTTTTAGCCAAACAAAAGCAAGAATCATCTGTGACCAATTTGATATGACAGCTAGGTCCAATATAATTAGCTAGCAATAGAGATCATCCACAAGTACTAAATAAAATAAACCTTACAGTAATTTTGTCAAAAATTCACGTTGTGAAATGCGAATAATAAATTTTAGCCAATCAACACAACTCTATGATAAAAAAGCTAGTTAAAAATTGAATTCAGACCTATTGATTTAGATGCTTGAGAGCACTCTAAGTTTATTATCGCACTGTAAACAGTACTCTGTATATTATTACTTTCATATGATAGTACTTAAGTTTTATTATTCAATTTAAAAAATTTCTCAAATATGTAATACCATGAGGACTATATATAGTATTATACTAGAGTATAAGTATTACTAATTTAGTTATTTTATTATTCACAGAAATTACAGTATGCTATGATAAAAACTTTATTGATATATTATTTAGTAATAAATAGAATAACAATAAAGTTAGAAATGCAGGTTTATCAAAGAATTTAAATGTTGAGTACACATTTTTTCAGGATCTTCATAGAGTATATGCTGATTATTTAAATTCAAAAGCTGCATTATTGTACAGGAACTTAGAATTTTATGATTCAATCATATATACCATTCTTGAAAATAATCAAGATCCAATTCGATTAAAATTTTATGTTAGAGATATTGTAGAACTATTAAAAGAAACTGAGGATACTGCATACGTCAAAATTGAATCAATTTTTCAGCATCAAGCAAACAACAATCAATACTATATATTTTTTTGGTTCAGTTGGTTTCAGACAACAAATAAACTAGATCCTATATTGAAATATCTATTTTATGATATCTAGAAGTCTGAAGAGTTACATTAGATTCAAATTTTTCTAATAAATTTTGTTGATCATACTCCATGTATATATTTTGTGTACAATTGTACAAGTACATGTATGACCAAGTATAATGAAACTAATAGAAATTACATTTTAAACAACTTTTATTATAATACTATATGATAATGAGAAAAAAATTATACTATAATTATTTTAATGGGTCGAATAATAATAATAATTTCTAGTTGTTATTAACAAAAAATTTTTTTATGTATTCAGAAAAATAATAGCCAATGAATTATAGTAGTTAAAATAATATCTAAGTATATAAGATAATAGTCTAATAGGCTCAAATAGTAATTCTTATTTGTAAATTACAGTATTACTAGATACTTACTACACTATACACTGTGCAATACAAATCTTGCTTAATGATCTGTATTTTTTGAAACCTGTGACCTTATTTGCCTAACAAACAAAAAAAAAACAATCCAAAAAAAAATTATCATATTAGTATTAATCGATTATTTTTTAATAAAATAAGCAAATTTTTCTAAATTTAATAATAAAAAAATGTCTAACAGACCAAAAAAGCTTGAAAAACTCACCAATCAAGAAATAGAGAACCTTGATTCTTGAACAAACTGAATAAGTAAAAAATTTTGATATTTTTAAATGGGGATAGTAAATGATTAGTAAGGTTACTTAGATCATTTGTATATTAAAATAAAGAAAATCTTTAAAATACATCTGGATATAGATTTATTATCCTACTCTCAATTTTGGTTTTTTAGGGTTAAGGTAAGAGTTAGTTAGCATGTGATGACTATTTTAAATTTAATTTATTTATTTTTGGTTATAGGTTAATAACCTAAACCCCAGGTCTATTTTAAAGACACCTAAAATAAAATTATATTGAACTTTATTACTTTTTTAATTGAAGATCATAGCCATATATTAAAGTTAAAATTTTTCTGTTTAATTTATTGTAAAATTTGACTTTAATTTAATTTTGTATTAAAATATTAACTACATATGTTAAATGACCTTCTAAGGTCAATATATATGTATAATATCCTGTTATATGTATAACTCAGAGATTTTGATCTATAACAAATTTTAAATCATGATCTAATTTTTTTTGCATTTGTTATACTTTTTGCTATATCCTTTTTTCGTATTTTTTTTGTTTACTTGGTTTAGTATTTGCTTAGTATATTTACTAACTTTTCTTCTTTTCAGATAGTAGTAAGTTCATGATTTTGTTGACGGTATGGTTTTGTTGAGCTTTGTTATTACTACTGGTATATACTATATCTTGTTATTTTTTTTTCTTTCTTGTTTTAGTGCTTGCTTAGTAACTACTTTTTTTTCAGGTATTTACAGCAGATTTCTTTGTTGTTGTGATTTTGTTAGTGTTATGCTTTTGTTGAACTTTGCTTTTACTACTGGTATTACTATATCTTTTGCTGTATCCTTTTTTCATGTTTTTTTTTTGTTCACTTGGTTTAGCATTTGCCTAGTCTGCTTACTAAATTTTTTCTTTCAGGTAGTTATAAGTTTGTGATTTCGTTGATGGTATGGTTTTGTTGAGTTTCATTATTACTACTGGTATACACTATATCTTGTTATTTTTTTTCTTTCTTGTTTTAGCACTTGTTTAGTAACTACCTTTTTTTTCAGGTATTTACAGCAGATTTTCTTGTTATTGTGATTTCGTTGGTGTTATATCTTTGTTGAGCTTCACTGTTACTACTGGTATTACTATACCTTTTGCTATATTCTTTTTTTGTGGTTTTTTTTTTTTTGTTCACTTGGTTTAGCATTCGTCTAGTCTGCTTACTAATTTTTTTCTTTTCAGGTAGTTGTAAGTTCATGATTTCGTTGACGATACGGTTTTGTTGAGCTTCATTATTACTACTA